CTGTCCTGATAACGTGCTGTCAGATCCCCTACATTAGATATAAACCCAGCGCTGTCTGAGCCTGTCCTGATAACGTGCTGTCAGATCCCCTACATTAGATATAAACCCAGCGCTGTCTGAGCCTGTCCTGATAACGTGCTGTCAGATGCCCTACATTAGATATAAACCATGCACTGTGTGAGCCTGTCCTGATAACGTGCAGTCAGATCCCCTACATTAGATATAAACCCAGCGCTGTGTGAGCCTGTCCTGATAACGTGCAGTCAGATCCCCTACATTAGATATAAACCCAGCGCTGTATGAGCCTGTCCTGATAACGTGCTGTCAGATCCCCTACATTAGATATAAACCCAGCGCTGTCTGAGCCTGTCCTGATAATGTGCAGTCAGATCCCCTACATTAGATATAAACCCAGCACTGTTTGAGCCTGTCCTGATAATGTGCAGTCAGATCCCCTACATTAGATATAAACCCAGCGTGAGCCTGTCCCGATAACGCGGCAGTCAGATCCCCTACATTAGATATAAACCATGCACTGTGTGAGCCTGTCCTGATAACGTGCAGTCAGATCCCCTACATTAGATATAAACCCAGCGCTGTGTGAGCCTGTCCTGATAACGTGCAGTCAGATCCCCTACATTAGATATAAACCCAGTGCTGTCTGAGCCTGTCCTGATAACGTGCAGTCAGATCCCCTACATTAGCTATAAACCCAGCGCTGTCTGAGCATGTCCTGATAATGTGCAGTCAGATCCCCTACATTAGATATAAACCCAGCGCTGTCTCAGCCTGTCCTGATAACGTGCAGTCAGATCCCCTACATTAGATATAAACCCAGCGCTGTCTGAGCCTGTCCTGATAACGTGCAGTCAGATCCCCTACATTAGATATAAACCATGCGCTGTGTGAGCCTGTCCTGATAACGTGCAGTCAGATCCCCTACATTAGATATAAACCCAGCGCTGTCTGAGCCTGTCCTGATAACGTGCAGTCAGATCCCCTACATTAGATATAAACCCAGCGCTGTATGAGCCTGTCCTGATAACGTGCTGTCAGATCCCCTACATTAGATATAAACCCAGCGCTGTATGAGCCTGTCCTGATAACGTGCAGTCAGATCCCCTACATTAGATATAAACCCAGCGCTGTATGAGCCTGTCCTGATAACGCGCTGTCAGATCCCCCTACATTAGATATAAAACCCAGCGCTGTATGAGCCTGTCCTGATAACGCGTTGTCAGATCCCCTCTACATTAGACAGTAAACCCAGCTGTCTGAGCCTGTCCTGATAACGCGCTGTCAGATCCCCTACATTAGATATAAAACCATGCGCTTGTGTGAGCTTCGTCCCATAACGTGTCACTGATCCCCTACATTAGATATAAACCCAGCGCCACCGGAGCCTGTCCTATACAACGCGGCAGCCGATCCCCTACATTAGATATGCAAACCAGCCGCCTGTGGCGAGCCTGTCCTGATAACGCGTCAGATCCCCTACATTAGATATAAACCCAGCTCTGTCTGAGCCTGTCCTGATAACGTGCAGTCAGATCCCCTACATTAGATATAAACCCAGCGCTGTGTGAGCCTGTCCTGATAACGTGCTGTCAGATCCCCTACATTAGATATAAACCCAGCGCTGTCTGAGCCTGTCCTGATAATGTGCAGTCAGATCCCCTACATTAGATATAAACCCAGCGCTGTCTGAGCCTGTCCTGATAACGTGCAGTCAGATCCCCTACATTAGATATAAACCCAGCGCTGTCTGAGCCTGTCCTGATAATGGTTTGTAATAAATGTACATTTACTGACTTCAGAGCGTTCATGCATTTCCTCCTACTATTGCAGCTTGTCGGATTTTGGGTGGACCCAGTTTCATTCCCTCCATTATGTCATTAACAGGCTTTATAAATCAGTTTAATAGAGACAGATTGCGTATGCAGTGTCATCGCCAGCGCTTAGCGCCTCGGGATCATTTTCTCTTTAATTTCCGCATTCCAGGCAGCATCTGCCTAGGATTATCCTACAAAGTAACTTGACATTAGGCATGGCAGTATTAACCTCATTAGCAATTAACACCAATTTATTAATGAACTCATAGAACAGCGTTAATCCAACGTTAAAGAGACCCGCTGACCAATTAAACAGGTCACAGCAGTTCAGCAACTTGATCCGTGTGTTTAATGTTTGCTGGAGAAGAATTAATTTGCCAATGTTACTAATTACTTGTGCAAAAATTAATTTAGGCCTGTTCGCTCAATTCAATTCCTTTTAATCCACACCTGATCTAAACGGGCCAGAATTTACCTGTGGATTCTTATTCAATGGATTATACTCCCCAGGTAAATCCTGGACAGATCGATGTGTTTGGTTCAGGTTTTACAGAATCTGAGTTGGATGAACTGACTCAAACTAATTTTTGCACAAGTCTAATAGTAACGCTATAGTTTATATCTGCCAGATCCTTTACTAATTAACAAATTAACGAATGCAGGGTCTTTGAGCAGGCTATGAAAGATACAAGGTAGAGTGTGTGTCTGTCTGTCTTTGATAGATCGACCACGTGTTCCTGGGTAATTATTATTTCTTTGTGTTAAAGAGTTGCACATAAAAAGTGTTCCCATAGAGTATGGAGAATTGAAATGCTGCAGAAGGGAAGTGGATTTCTGCCCAGCAGTATCTGAATTCCACATACTATTCCATGTATCGCTTATAATGAAGGATAACTGTCCGGGAAAACATTGTGGATCTGGTGACCACAGGTAGACTGTGACGTCACATCAGTAATAAGATATTGGGTTAATAATTGATATCAGTATTAGGTAAGCCAGGAATGTAGGTGGGGGTTGATAAAAAATGATGCAGGGGTTCGATAACCTTCCCACGTGGAAGAGCTTATATTGTATGATCTCAGTCTGGCATGTGACGTGGCAGGAATTCAAACAGGGTTATTCTCTAATGGGAGAATTATCAGGAATTCACAATGTATTCAAAGTGAATTTCAAATTTAAGGCCAAAATGGCCGAGCTGGAATAATTCTCCCAGACAGCTATGTTTGTAGATTCTGAAAAATGCGCCTATTTTGGCCTTAAATTTAAAATTCATTCTGAATCCGTGACTTGTCAATCTTTAGTAAATAAAGTGAGGATTTCTTCACTGTGGCTGTTGTCTTGTATAGCCGAATTAGAGAATATTCCATGCAAGGTGTGAACTCCGGTTACCTTTATTAAATAAAAACCGCATTACAGAAAATGTCTAGCTCCCTAAAGAATGGGAGACTGGGGGACTAACGGGCTGAACTCGCAACTCACACTATCTCAGGAGCCCTTATAAAGTAAGAGGCGAGTCCGTCATGGTATGTTTGGACATGAGTGTAAGAGACCAGCATTAATCAGTGGTGATTCAGTCTCTCAGGGTGCACAGGGTAAATCATGGCCTAGATCCCTCAGTCCTGAGGTTTTAGAAGTCATTCTAATTAAAGGAGCGATGTGACGAGCCATGTGGTCAGAAGTTGCCCTCGAGGGGGACAGGTGATGGATCATACAGAGAGGAGGGAGGCTTCTCATCATGCTAGGGTGTTGTCTCAAGTCAGCATGCTGATTATTTAGCCCCCCTGTGGGGTGATTATAGATGGCCCTCAGAAATCAGCAGGATGCAAACCTTGAGAACCTAAATTAAAGTAACAGTATAGTGTTAGGAATACAAACCTTTATTCCTAATGCTATAGCGTCCTTGTCCCCAGTGACATAAAGGTATCTCCCTGTACAATAAAAATGAATAATATAAACATTTAACTTACCTTTTTCCTGCACTGAGGCTCTCTTGGCGCTGCACACCTATCCATCTCCCATGATCTCCTACATGAAGGTCCAATCCTCCTCATAGAGGAATATTGGGAGCCTGATGCACATGCGCTGCAAGTGCCACGAGAACGTCCAAGATTTCCCATAGGAAAACATTGTATTCAGGCCTTGGTGATGATAGTGCCCCTTTAAGTTACAGTTAAGATCCCTCCCGGTAAGTGGTAGTCATAGACCAAATATTCACAGGACTGCCTGCAGTAGGACATGAATCTCAACAAAACCAGTTAGCAGGCTCCTCTCCACTCAATGTTCCTGTCATACGTGTTTAGTTAGAATTACATGTATCTCCTTTTTACCTATTGTAGGGCAGGATCCTCTCCACTCAATGTTCCTGTCATACGTGTTTAGTTAGAATTACATGTATCTCCTTTTTACCTATTGTAGGGCAGGATCCTCTCCACTCAATGTTCCTGTCATACGTGTTTAGCACTGCAGAATATGTTGGCACTGTATAAATAATTGTAACCATACAGCTCGCCAACGTGAGAGAAAACCGGGGAACTCTATTACAGAGGTCCACGGTATGGCACAGGATGTATTTAGGATTTGTGCTGCCCTGGGACAACAGCATCCCCAGACTCAGAGCCCACCTATCTTAGCTCATATCTGCCTCGTATATTACTGATACGCAGAGGGGTCTTACATTCCCACGAGACCCCGAGGCAGCAACGGCTTTTTTTCATAAAATAAATACAGAGCATAGTGATGGCGTCATACAAAAATAATACACTGTGCGACATGGACCTCTCCTTCTAGTCCTGCTGTCTGAGGGCAACTACTGGCCTGTTGATAGGCAAGGGTTTATTCACTAAACAGTCGATTTGGAAAATCCTAACTTTTATAGTTCAGTTTTAATTTCATCTCTGCTCACCGTAAAATCTGCAGTTATTCAATAAACAGGACAGTGTCGGGATTGACCAAGAAATTGAATATTTTAGGCCCAAGCAGCCAGGCTGGGTAGATACAAAAATATAGAAATGTCTCTGTTTCAGGCTTTAAATGTGCAATTTTCTAGGTTTAGTTAAAGCGGTGTCTCCTGGAAAGCATGGACAGACTTGTTTCCTGTTAATCGGTTACTTTCAAGTTTAAGGGAGAATCCCATTGAAATCACATGCCTGTTTCCAATCCCATAAATCTGTAATGACCTGACGTGTTCCCTGGGGCTCGATCGGCCTGTGTTAATATGGATTGGAAATACTGGAGTAAAGTCTGAGGCGGCCATGTGACAGGGTGGGGGGGCAGTCACATGCCCTAAAAAGGAGAATGTTTGCTGCCAGCAGATGAGGTAACGCTTGGGTATATGACAGCCAAAAAGCTGCCAACTACATGGGCTTATTCACACGAGACTTTCTGACTATTCCTACAATCATCCTATTGTACTTTATAGATTAGATACATATGTTACAAGTGGCAGAACGCTGGGTAATATTAAGGTAACCGAATGATGCTGATATTAGTCAGGCCATTAGTCGGACAGAACAGAAGAGCAAGGTCTGTTGAATTCCCTCTAAGTATATTTCAGAGCTCTTTAGCACTGAAACAGTTAAAATCGGAATCTCTGTACCAACCACATCCTGCGGTGAGAATTGAACACTGAGTCTGCTGTCTTCAAACAGCTGTGTGTGGCTGGTGTAGAGATTCTGATAACACTGCTTACAGGGGACACTAAGGATCCGCTACCGCCGTGTTAATAAACCAGCGCAGGATATTAATCACACAGGGCGACACGCTTGAGAACTCTCAGACAGTGAAGGCGTAAATAGTTAAACTGATATTCCTGTCAATTCTCACGTTGGTGAATAACCCTGAAAGTGATGGTTAAATTCTGTTATTATTTTCATTGTATTTATTAAAGTGTTTAAAAGTGATATAAAAAGTGATAGTTTTTACAGAAAAATTCCTTTTCAGACGACCGCCCAGTTTAAAGGGATTCTATAGTGTTAGGATTACAAAGCGTTAGTCACTTACCCGATCTCTCTGGACGCTGGGCTGGTGCTCTCCCTCCGCCTCCGCCTCCACCATCTGATGACGGGATAATGCTCGTGCATGGCGCGGCGCGAGCGCATTAGGCTGTCCCCTTAGGAAATCATTGCTTCAATGCTTTCCTATGAGAATTTTACTGTCCAAAGTCTGTTGGCAACCTGGAAGCGCCTCTATTA